AAAAAAAAAACTTTAACTCATGCATTATATTTATTTTTAATTAACAATTTATGAAAAAGAAAAAAACGAAGAAAATTTCATCATTTTTTAATTCATGCAATATTTCCTATTTTTCATTAGTAATTTATGAAAAAGTGAAAAATAAAAAAATTCCATTACTTTTTTTTTCTTTCAATTTTAATTAAATCTATTACTAAGGCATATGAAATGGTAAGAATTTCATTGAAAAAATAAATAAATAAAAAAATGAAATGAAAGAGAAAATAATGTAAATTTTATTTTTATTGCTCTTTTAAAAACAAAATTTAATAACATTCTATTGAATGTCATTAAATTTTGTGTTATTAAATTCTATTGAATATTAACATGAAAAGATACTGTAACGATTTCTTTTTTCTCTTTCTTTTTTCATAATCTAAAAATAATTTCTAAATTTGTTACCATCTTTAATTATATTTTCTTTCTCCCTTCTTATTTGATATGGATTATTATAATCATTAATAAGATTAATCATTCTTTCATCTGTATCGCAAAAATTCTACATTCATTTGCCAAATTCGGATTTTATTAATTGGGAAAAATGCTATTTTCATATTCTGATATATGCAATTTATCAGGAAAGATATTATATTCGAATTCCAATATATATGCTCTGTCAGGAGAGATATTATAGATGAGAAAATATTTTGTGGAAATGGAAACTTTTTTTTTTTTATCACAATAAATGATATCATAAAACAATATCCCAAACAATATCATTAATCATTGAACAGAATTACTCTATCTCAATATCACAATGGAATTCATTTTTAAATAAGCATAATTAATCTCAGTCATTTATCAAATTTAATAATCTTAAAAATGGATTAATTTAAAATAGTCGTTTAATTTAATTGCATTTCATATGAACTCCGCGGAATGTTTGAAATATAAGTTAATAGAGCTGGAAATATCCGTTATTCCTTGTATTTGAATCCTCGTTTTTTAATTCTAAAATTGTTTATCTTTTCGTTAAACTTAACTAATTATCCAGGGTTAAGCTTAATTTATATTCAACAAATTCTACATCTACTCAAAAAAAAAAAATGAAACCCACACAAAATACACACACACACACATACACACACACGTACACACACACACACACACACACATACACAAACACACACACACACACATACCTATGTATACATTTACATATTATCACGCACACACTTGCACACATCATCCAGTCATACGCCTACGCAACCATCTGCACATACTTTCTTCGCAAGTCTTCACAACCATCTACGCAAACTTTTTAGCGCCTACGCAATCACCCACACATATTTTTTTGCAATTCCTGCACAACTGTAAGTACATTCGTTTTTTAACTCTTACACAACCATGTGCATAGAGTTTTTTGCAAACCCGCACAACTACCCACACAGATTTTTTGTACAACGCCTACGCAACCATTTGCACAAACCTTTTTTGTAACGCCTACACAACCACTTAGACAGATCATTTTTACAAACCTAGAAAACCACCTACATAAACCTTTCGATTCCTATGCAAGCACCTGCACATTCTTTTTTTAACGTTTACACGACCACCTACACAGTCTTTTGCAACTCCTATACGATCACCCACGCAAACTTTTTTGAAACGCCTACGCAACCACTTATACGTTCGTTTTTTCAACGCCCCCACAAAATCCTGTATAGAACTTTTTTTTTGCGCAATAATAATGGGAATTAATTCAATAAAACTTTTGCCTATATCATTAGTATGTTGGCTTTCATTCAGTTGAAAACAATTTTGTATTGAAGAAGAAAGTCTTGCAGGACGAAAGGAAAAGGATGTCCATTTGGTGCAAAATCAATAAGCACTTGGCTTGTATAAGCATGTTAAGCTAGCTAAGCTTATAATCCTTCCACAAATGTTATATTCTCATTAGAGTAAGCAAATGTTTAAGGTCACATATTTTTGGTTAACATTATGGCATATATAGAGAAATGTGTATATGCATATGCATATGCATATGCATATACACATTTCTCAATACATGCATTAAACATTGGAAGCCTATGAGGCATTTTGATTTTATTAGCCTAGTTAACTTATTTATTCATTAACCTCCATAATCTATTTGTCACCTGTGTTTTGTTTTATTTTTTTTTCCAATATTTCTATCATCTATTTTTCATTTTTTATCCATTTCTTTCCTTGTTTTCACTTTAATCATTCAAAATTTCCGATAATTTAATAGGGAAAATGAAAATTGTCTCGCAAATGTTATAATATTAATTGGTTTCAATTCTATGGTCTCTTTTTTCATATAGTATAAATTTTCAAAAAAAAAGAAAAAAAAGAAGGAAAAAAAAAAGATAAAATTTTAAAAAACATAGCAGAATTTTGAATAATATTAAAGATATGAAAGAGATTTTTTATTATTATATATTTGAAATTTAATCAAAAATTATTCGAATTTCATTTATTATACATCCTAAAATAAGAATAATAAAAATATTGATAATATTAATGATCAATGATCGTTTTGTTATTCTTGATTTTTTAACAACCAAACAATTATAAATAACATCAAAAATAATTGCATTTAAATTGATATCAATAATAATTTAAGCAAAAAATTGCCACTAACAACATAATGATTACTTATAATTTCATGAATTAAAATTATAACTGTAAAAAGGAATCTTATCAAATTTGAAAATTATTTGATTAAAATCAATATGAATTATAAAACTAATTCATTTCATTCGTTTCAATTCATTACTCAAAATATGCATTTCTGTTACAATTCCTTCCATCATTTGACATACAACACTTTTAGTTTGTCAAAAACCCATATAAATTTCCTTTCTTACAAAAAATATAACTTAAACTATGGACTAAAAAAAAATATAACTTAAAAAAATATAACTTAAACTATGGACTAAATTAGTAAAGGATTAATTAAAAAAGTATGATATAAATTTTTACTTCATTACACAGCAATAGTAGTTATTGATTTATTTATTGCTATGCATAAACTTTCGGATAATTTTTAAATTCTATTACAAGAAATAAATTATCAATATAATTTCCACTTTTAAATGTACTAAAGTAATGAAATAAATTGTGATAATACAGAATAGTTATAATAATTAATAGTTAATAGTTATATTTGTTGGATCAATAATTATTCGATAATAATTATTGTCTAAACTTCCTGTCAAATTTCATAATATTATGTTTGATTTATTTCCTAATAATTTCTAGAATATATTATAATATATGAGAAATTATACATATGTGCTATTTAAGCAATTTTTTATATCATTTTTGATAAATAATAAGTTCCTGTTTTTATATTCCAATTATATAACTTTCATTTGCATAATGATTAAATCTTTGGTAATGGCTTTACTCATGCTTGTTACAACCGTTACAAATATGATTAATGACCTAATGAGCTAGGCCGGTAATAGTAAAGTTTACATGACTTAGGTTTACGTAGAGTATTTTCCTCCTCTTAGATGGATAACTTTACAGGACTAAACAAGCTCCTTCTATTCGAGTTTAGATTTTGAGCTATCCTTCTTCTAGGATGATTACCGGGATGTTATCTATTCCAGTTTTAATCCTATAAATACACTTTGTTTGACCCTTTAATTGAAACCTCTCTAGCATGGGAGATCTTACTGAAGATATAAGCCATCACTAGCATAGCTTATAACCTCATTAGAGCATGCGGACTTTTACCTGGTGACAAGGGGTATCCATGGCAAAGCATTTGCATAATATACTTAATTATTGCATTAGTAAATAAATTATATTCATCAAACAAAATATTGTATACCTTATTGTTAAATATTTAGAATTATTATTTTTTAATTAATTTATATATCTTATTTGCTTAATTTGGTATTTGATAAAACATAAAATAGTATCAACATTTCGTTATGTGTCCTATCTAAGTATACATACATATATATATTTGTATACAATTTTACAAAATGAATGGAATAAATTTTGAATTATTGATTATTTTATAATTTATTTTGGAAAATTAAATAAAAAGTGAAAATAAAATCATTGCTTCAAATTATTGGTCAAATAAAATTTTATTTTTTGAAAAATTAAAAAAAATTTATTAACATATTCCGAGCATCATTTTTAAATGGTAATGAAAAATATAATCATTGTTAATTTTTACATGACAAATATTCAAATATAGGAATTAATTTACAT